TTTTCAAACTTAAGTTATATTTACTGCATTAGTTGAAAATTAGTTGCAAAAGCTAGGTGCTAAATTGTAAATTAATTGATAAAAAATAATATTCGTTAAAAGTCAGCTAATAAACTAGCTAAATATATAAAATGACATAAAAAATATTTAGGACGAAGATTTTTTTTATAAATAATTAAGACCATGAAAAACTTTTCTAAATAGGTTTTTAAAAAACTAGTTTATTAACTATTTTTTTAACTTATCAAACTGTTCAAAAAACTAGATAAAACTTATTGTCTTGTCTATATTTTTATACTTTGTGGTGACTTTTCCCTTTATATATTAACTAGACTAGACGATTGTGTTCAATAATAAAATTAAATAGTCAAAATATAATTAGATGTATCTCGTTAAAAGAAGTAATTTATTGTTATTGATGAACTATATAAAAAAGACTTAATAAAAAGGTTAGAAAATTCAACGTTTGTAGTACTTGTATAATATTTTGACGTGTTAAAAAAGTAATTCAACCCAATAAGCAAAAGCCTTAGAAATCAGATTGGGGAGCAAACGCAATGAAGAAGCCCAGAAAAGAGACCAAGCCCAACAAGTAAAACTACATTATTGGGCTGTTGGCTTTATTACTAAATCCGACATTTAAACAAAACGTTTATTGAATTTTAATAATACAACTTTATTTCTTTTTTAGGAGATTAGGAGATGAGTCATTCTATAGTCTACACTACAAATTAATAAAACTTTGCCCGTTTCAAACTCGAAACCGAATGTTTTATGAGCTATAAAATGAATAAGCGTCCTTGTGACAAATTCAGAATGTGCCACTAAGATAATACGGTTTATATGTTTTCTTTTATAAAACTAGTAAAAAAAAAACCCGGCTTCCTCCCGGGTCGAAATTTTTTTAAACCTTTTTTTCAATTAGGGCATCATACTTTGAAAGCTTTATTTTTACCTATAGTAGCAACATTCTTTCATAATGTGACAAATACCTTATTTGATATCTATTGCTATCATTGGTAATTAAATATGTGTTGTTATTTGATGAAAATAAGACCATATAGTAGATATCGAAAGAGGGGGGGGGGGACCAAAAGTAGCAACTCTACAAACTAATGTGGCAAAAACTTGAGGTGTCACATTTGGTAAATGCCAATGACAAAAAGTGAGAAACTTTTGAACCATTTGTGGTTAGCAGTAGAGAATATCGAAGCTGAGGGACCAAAAGTACCAACTCCACAAACTAATATGGTAAAAAGTTGAGGAGGTACCAAAAATGGCAAAGTGTTGAAACTTTTATGGCAAAACTTAGAATAATAGAAAATATGCTAATCATAACACTTTTGTGTTTTAGTATATATATATATATATATATATATATATATATATATATTAATTAGGTAGTATATACATATGTTTTAAACAAAAAACAATAAGTGTTCTTACATTAGTTGTGCCACTTACCCCTCTCCCATCGATATATATTTGTGCATCATTACATATTAAAATTTTCGAACTGTATCAATCACAAGATGAATTTTATTTTTTTTAGACATCTACGTTTGTTTTTTTCGACGTTAATTATCGAATTAAATATACAAAATCATACTAAAATTGGTATCATTATATTATATATTATATAACACCGCTTGAATGGTTTAAAACTAGAGATGATACCTTCCAACCGTTGATACAAAAAAAAAAAAAAAAAAAAAAAACTCTAATTGTTGACACGTTCCTTTCCCTAATATGTCGCAATGTTCTTTTAATAAACATCGACTATGATTTGATAAGGACATAGTCAACTCCTCAGTGTTTTTGGTTGAATCCTAAATCTTGAACAACTATTATCACTCACTCATATTTTTTTTTCTTTCAAATTCTAACAACATTCGTTTTGTTTTAACTGATTTATTGTTGGTAATTTTAGTGTCTTTATTTTAATATGATTGGAATTAACATGTGTGCCAATTTAAACTATGATCTATACGAGGTAGGTGGTGCAGAGTATACTTATATAAGACAACTTTGATCTTGAACATGACGAAATGCGAGGGCTAAAGGAAGAGTCATTGTCACCTTAAAACATATATAGAATTTTGGATCTAAAATGCAATGGAAAAACATGATCAGAGTGAAGGAAAGTTAACAAAATATAAAATTTTTGGGTATGCTCGAAGGCAACTCAACCTGCCTTGCAACTGAAACTGATTTACAAACAAAATTGTCTCGACAATCCAAACTACATTGGCAGCATGGAGCCAAGTTGGGGCATTTTTTCTACTGTTTAATTTTCATTTTTATTTTTGTCGATCTTATCCAGATTTGGGATTAATGAGAATATATACTCATATTTCGATATTTCGAACCTTCTCAAGATCTCAAACAACTATATATTCTCCGATAACATACACTGTTTTGTGCCTGAAACGTTAAGTGTTCTAACAAATTATCCCTAACTAATTTTTTTTGTTAACAATATCAATACAAAAATGATACACACATGATCCCTAAGAAATGCATGTTCATTGATTATCACGCACTACTTTCTCGCCCTTTTTTCTAGCGTTACTTATGTTCTTCCTTTATTTTGAGCAGATCATGTTAGATCTTCTCTTCTAATAAAAGACTTTTTACACATGCCACATGTCATTTTCTAAGCCTATACTTTGCCACGTGTAATCTTTTGGTTACTCCCGCCCATCAGACTATCCTCTAAAATAGGCTTATATATCAATTTAATTAAATGATATTTTCAGTAAATCCCAAAAAATCAGGAATCAGTTTATCTCAATTGTCTTCAACCTAATAAATCAAGATTGAAATTTGAAATCAACAATCATTGCCTTATTCTCTTTGTTTTCGTCTCCCACTACGCCCTGTGTTTCTCTGATACACCCATTAATTTACTCTCTCCACATCTCTCTGAAAACCCTAGAAATTCGACTATGTCACCACCTTATGGAGTTCTGAGTTTCCAATCGGACCATTGTAGCCTCACGACCCCATCATTGCATTGGCATATCTTCAACGTCGCAGACACACATTGTCGCAGCCCCACCAGGACACCCTACCGTCACCTATGTGAAACATCATGTAGGTGTTTTCTGTTTTACTTTTCCCGAATTTTGATTAAAATTCTTCATCTAGGGAACGTAGAATTTAGAACAGAAAAGGAGGTGGACTCATCTATTCACACAGCTGATTGTTCTTGGTTCCACCTAAGAAAAGTTTATATTAATGCACAAAAATGGTAATTGTGACGATATTGGGTTTGATTTTATGCAAACGTTTTAACCATAATCTTTCATTGGTAATTCAATATCTATAAATGTTCTTTTAATGTGTTATATGTTATATATGTATTTTATTCATCAACTAAATTAAAGCAATTTGTTTTAGGCCAAAAAGTCAAATTGATGTTGCAAAAGAAATATTTACACGGGTTCATAAAGTTGTTTTGTCATGCTTGTGGTTGAAAAATAAAATTATGCAATTATCTAGAATTACTTCATTCTTTGTGTTATCGCAAGTTTAAAAGTTGCAAGTGGAAGTGTTTTTAAGCCTCTTTTACGGTCTCTCTCTCTCATTCTAACAAAGTGGGATTTTAAGAGTTGAAATAATTTCATGGCTTTTGGGGGTTTTCAAGTAAGTGGCCTTATGTTTGTAATCAAAAAAGTTTTTTTTTTTTTTTTTTAATTTATGTTTAATTGAATAGTATATATTCCTTTTGGAAACAATAATAGACCCTTTATCCTCCCTATAATAATCAAAATCATGTTAATAATCCTTCATAAATCGTTACTCTGAATGTATATTTTCCGAAAATGCCTTGAAGTTGATAGGTAAAGGTCTTTTGGCTCAGCTCCTCTATTGCCCAATACCCAACACCTGTGCTTAAGCCACTCAACCATGAAGTGTCATTGATATTTATTTTTTTATGGATCCTATTTCTATAAAAAATTTTGATGATAAATGTTAATATAGATATAGTATCTTTTTTAAATTTATATTGCAATTCATGAGCTGTAATTGGTGAAACATTGCAGACAAGACATCAAAACGATTGTGACCTGACTAGAAATTTGCAATAATGAACCACCACTTGCCCCAAAGGAAGAAGAGAAGCGTGGAAGCGATTAGAGCACAAAAGGGGAAATATTGTCTATCTTACCCACTCGACTTAATTTTGTGGATAACCGAATCAGATATAAATGGAACGAGTAAGAGGTATTAAGTAGTAGTATAAAACGCTCTGTCTCGGACCACCTGACTCTTAATATATGTATGTTATGTTTAGTGTGGATGATGAAACAATATTTTTATCTAGGAATTCTATCTCAAGCTTCTATCATTACCCGTTTCATTTTAATTTGAAAGAAACTATTGTTTTTAAAACTATTCACTAAAATAATCATGAAATGGTCTTTTTTAACAACACATAATCAACATTATTGAGAATATAAGCAAATGACTACGTAACACATGATATTCCATTATTAATCAGTGATATGAATGTTTTGTATGACATAAACTCGTGAATGGAACATGATGGAATAGAAAGAAAAAAAGCATGAAGCTCTATCTGTTCGATTTTCTTAGAAGAGAAAGTTGGGGACCACGTGTTAACTTTTTCATGGCAAGTATTGGCCTGATTCGACCTTGTTTACTCTGATTTGGTTGATGCGGTTTTCAGATCACATTTAGCGAATAAAACTTGCACAATTATTTACAAGTACAACTACTCTAATTGTACTCTCGCGTTTGATGCTCGTGAAATGAATTTATATTTGTAAATTATAAGTTTATACAATGATTCGGATGTTTAACAAATTGCTTAACTCTCATACCTATTTTCCTCTTTCCACTTATAAAGTTTTTGTTATTTGTTCTAAGAAATGTCGACTAGGCCATCTTATATGCTTGGGAAAGGGAAAGTATTTTAAAATCTAAATTAAATACAACAAACTTTATCAATATAAAATTATACTTAACAACTCAGTAGCTAAATTTCTAATATTTTGATTCATTTAATATAGTCTTCAACAACCTACATTGATACGTTGTACTTTATATTTCAGAAACAGTACATTTACTAACTCATCACGATTTCATTAGGCACACTAACCAAAGACCTTCAAGTACAAACTCCATCACAAAAACCACCTACCCAACATTCAACAAAACAAACACCACAACACTAATAATCAATCAAATATCAAATCCCAATCCCAATCCCACAGCATTTAACCTTCTTCCTCGTACTCAACACCTTCCTCCTCATACTCACCTTCCTCATCAGCAGTCGCATCCTGATACTGCTGATACTCAGAAACCAAATCATTCATATTACTCTCCGCTTCGGTGAACTCCATCTCATCCATTCCTTCACCCGTATACCAATGCAAAAAAGCCTTCCTCCTAAACATAGCAGTAAACTGCTCACTCACACGCCTAAACATCTCCTGAATAGAAGTCGAGTTCCCAATAAAAGTGGAAGCCATTTTAAGACCCGTGGGAGGAATATCACAAACAGTCGACTTCACATTATTAGGAATCCATTCAACAAAATAAGACGAGTTTTGTTTTGGACATTGATCATTTGTTCGTCCACTTCTTTCGTGCTCATTTTGCCTCGGAACATTGCGGATGCGGTTAGGTATCGTCCGTGGCGAGGGGTCCGCCGCACACATCATGTTCTTCGCGTCCCACATTTGTTGTGTGAGTTCCGGGACGGTTAGGGCGCGGTATTGCTGGGACCCACGGGAGGTCAGAGGGGCAAAACCGACCATGAAAAAATGGAGGCGCGGGAACGGGATTAGGTTGACCGCCAGTTTACGGAGGTCGGAGTTGAGTTGACCCGGGAACCGGAGGCAGCAGGTGACACCGCTCATGGTGGCTGAGATTAGGTGGTTTAAATCTCCAACTGTTGGTGGGAGGGACCCACAACAAAAACCCACAATCAGTTTATTATATATATTTTTTATTTAAGGAAAAATTTTATAGGACCAGAATTGCAAAAATCAGATATCCTAAAGGTAATTAACTTTAAAACATTTTTAGATGGGAAAGTATTTTATTTCTTTTTGGGTTTCGTGTAAAGAGGGTTTAGTAAAATGAAGCAACCCATCACGTGAAAGGCTGAATTTTGACAACTGTTTGGATATGAAAAAAAAAAAAAAAAAAAAAAAAAAAAGATAGAAAGAGAATCTTTGCTTAGGTGGGAATCACATGTCTTGACGACTACAACACGAAATGCTTTGACTAACTACAACTACAAATCTGATCAAGAATCAGAGAAAACGTGGATGCATAAATATAATAAATATGGTTATATGGTTGTTTTGAAACGTCAAGAAACTCGTACACTTATTAATCATTGGTTGGATTTTCTTTTTTAATAAATGTTTAATCTTGGGGGGTATATTGGACTTACAGCTGGGTGTAGTGAGCTTCAGTGTGCGGAAACAGATGTCATACAGAGCTTCATTGTCAAGAACCATGCATTCATCGGCGTTTTCAACCAGTTGATGAACTGATAAAGTTGCATTGTAGGGCTCCACCACTGTGTCGGAGACTTTGGGGGAAGGGAAAACTGAGAAAGTGAGCATCATCCGATCGGGATATTCTTCCCTGATCTTGGATATCAGCAAAGTCCCCATCCCGGAGCCTGTTCCTCCTCCCAATGAATGGCATACCTGAAACCCTGTTATCAAAATAAAACATCAAATGCTATAATCGTCAGTTTATTCCCTAATTTTGGGGGTGGAGGCGGGAAACTGTAATCGAATCATGGGAAGAAGTGAGTGGCATTTCTAGTCATACATGTACTACCTTGAGATTATACTAATCATATTCCCTTTGAGGGATCTAAAATTCTAATGATTTGAAACTGAAAAATTGCATGAACCGATGGAAGATAACTGCAAATGTTCCAATGTATAATTGATGTAAGAGATGCACAAATCAAATGACGATAATTGCAATGCTATGGCTGATTTATAAACATGTATCGAGAGCGCTAGATCTAATTATGGAACCTTAGTTTTCCAGAGAGTAAAATCGTTGCAACGCTAAAATCAAAATGCTAAGATCGTTCCATCATCAAATCGTGCTAAAAGTAAATTCAAAAACTAAACATATTCGTTCGAATCGGGAGGCATGCTGCCGCAAATACATGGATCTCATCAGAGAACATTCAGTAATTGAATTAAGTTGCAATTACGACAGAGATAGAGAGAGAGAGAAGTAACCTTGGAGGCAATCACAGTTTTCGGCTTCTTTTCGAACAACATCGAGAACAGAATCAATAAGTTCTGCCCCTTCTGTATAATGTCCTTTCGCCCAGTTATTGCCGGCACCAGACTGTCCAAACACAAAGTTATCAGGGCGGAAGATCTGACCGTAGGGACCAGATCGGACGCTGTCCATGGTACCTGGCTCGAGGTCCATGAGGATGGCGCGTGGAACAAACCTCCCACAACTGGCTTCGTTGTAGTAGACATTAACCCGCTCGAGCTGAAGATCCTGGTCACCGCGTAACGTCCGGTGGAGTCGATGCCATGCTCAGCGCAGACGACTTCCCAGAACTTGGCTCCGATCTGGTTGCCGCATTGTCCGCCCTGAATATGGAGGATTTCTCTCATGATTTTGTTGGGGATTTAGATGGAGAGAAAGCGAGCGAGTATCTGTTGTGTGTGTGTGTGTGTTTTCAGGAGAATTAGGAGGAGGGTTTATATACACGAACGGGGGCGGTATCCTTCTTCCGAGAGGGAGATTTAAAAGCTGTTTTGGAATCACATGCTTCAAGAAAACCCGGTTCGGTAACAATACATGGGTAATTTTGTAATTTACTTGGGTTACTTTTTTTCTTTTTTTTTTCCTTTTTTATTGTGTTGCTATACTCAAGCCTTTGGATGAGATGATTTGTTGCCAAAATACAATTCTAATGGGCGAAGAATGTTAACAACAACGTCAAGGCCTCTAATTCTCTAATTTATCTCATTAGGTGGATTCCTTGGTTCTTTAACATTGAGGATTCAAGTCATGTGGTAGACATAATTGGGTATTAGGTATTAGTTTAGGAGTATAATAGATTTATCGGTTAAAAAAAATTATGGATTCATTTATTTTGTTTTTATAATCTCTAAAGCTCATACAATATAACTTTAAATTTTTTATTTTCAGCCAGAAAAACAAAAGATTAGTACAAGCCAGAATTCCTTTTTTTTTTTTTTTGAAAAAGTCAAATAGTTTTCAAAATAGTTCAAGATTTTTGAACTTGTTCTAGTTTTCGAAAATACAATGCTCGTGATTTTCAAACTAGTTGAAGATTTTTGAGGGTACTAGCAAATAATGGCATACTTCTATTTGTGCAAAATGGTTTCGAAGAATGAATTTCTTCACATATTTACGAAGATATAAGGTATTTTACTTTTCAAAGGGTAATTTTCGAAACTATAGATGACATCACCTTAAATAGAGGGGAGCACTTTGGAAAATAAATTTATATTCATAAATCCGCTACTCGAGAATATTAGCCTTTGTAATGCATTTGAAAACATTAGTACATTTTCGAAAATCCATATTTTTGAAGATCATGGTTAGATTCTGAAAAGAAAAAAAAAAGTGCTTAGGATGTGAGAAACGTTTTTTTTTGGGTGTTAACGTGGTCAATATCTTTTTTTATATAAAAATATATTTTATATGTGTCATAGGTACTCCATTTGAGTAAAAAAATGTTTCTTCGTATACAATTAGATATTACCTTTGAATCTGTTAGCATTCAACACGTTTGATACAACCTCTAACTGAACCTTTAGATAGTCTTTGAACAATTAAGGAACCATACTTTATATGAACTATTAAGATGTTTGAATCATTCAACGGTAAATGATTAGTTTTATCAAACAATCACTTATATGATATTGTAATACAGTTCATCTAACATCCTTTTAAGTAAACTCGATCGATAGAAAATTTTCATTGAGAAATTGGTTAGAATTCTTTTGTAGAAACGTCAACGAAATATTAAATCCAAGTCTTTCATATGTTAAACATGACTTTTGATGTATTAAGACCAAGTAGTTTTATTTGACGAATTAATGAATTATATAATGTCTATGAGTAAATGAAGATTAGGTATGGGTGGAAAATGAAGTGGATGATGGACATAGACCTTAGTGAGTGTTAAGGCTGCACACACATTTTTTTTGTAATGGTCAAGCTAACTAGTTGGAGTAAGCGGCAAGTGAACTTTCTATGTGGCTGCATCTGCACGTGTCCTCTTTCTCATAGAGCATCAATTGGGGGCCTATATACAGCAATGATCCATGTGTAAATTGTTCGCTTAAATATATGAAATGACTAATATAGCGTAACATAGAGTAAATGCAAGAAAAAGTTTTAGTTTTCTAGTCACCAAGAAGTTATTACGGCCTCAGATTTTCCTAAAAACAAACAAAAACCATTTTGAAGTTTTTACCTTCTAATCAGAGCGAATCAGTAGGTTTAGATCACCTTACCAGTGATTATTATTTAAATCCGGACAGTGTCATGAGAAAAGATAATTGTGAACTTAACAAAATATTCTTTATGTTTTATTATCATCTAATGACTTCAATTTCTTTGAATGATATGATAATCCAAAACTATTTTACCAATGTTTTTAATTGATCAAATATATTATTTGATGAAGTAATTGGCATATCCACAACCAAAAAATAATTTGAAACTTGATTCAATTTAGGTTATGTTTGTCAAACTAGCTAAAAAAACTAGCTGGTAAAAAAATAACGTTTGATAAAAATAACTGATAAGCTGACTGGAATATATAAAATAACATAAAGATATATACAAAAAATATGTTTATTATAATTAATAAAAGATACATATGGAAGAATTTTAAAAAAGTTCTATAAGCTATCTGAAAAGCTAACTTATAAGTTACTTTTTGTCTTATCTAATACAACTTAAAAAATTCAAAATAATATGTTAGCTTATAAGCTAGTTATGACATAGCAAACATATATTTACTGTATTTTATCTTACGGTTAGTTTAATTAATTGCAATGTTTAATTAGAAACATCGGTTCTACATAAGAATTATATATAATTGTTTTAGTAATACTATTCATAATAAAGGCAAACTCTTTATTTTTATTGGTCTGAAAATATTTAAGTACACCTTTAATTGGTCATTTTTTTTTAACAACAAATATACTATAGAAAACACTAACAAGAAGCTAGATAATAAAAACTATAAGATATGACAGATGAATTATGAGACAACAACAATCAGGTTTTAAAACTAACCCAACTAATTAATAACATTTTTATGTCTATGATTACATCAAGAAAAGACTAAATTATGTATAATGCAAATTGAAAATTCAATGTTCAAAGTAAAAACAATATTCTAAAACAAAAATATTATAACAAAATCACATGATGGAGAAAGTAACTTGTTTTCTATGTCTTGAAAATATCTAAATCGGTCTACCTACAAAGCTCGATCCATGCCCATCATGAAAACATATATTTAAGAACATAAAAGCGACTTAAGACTCCAAGATCAAACCATGTTAATTGTTAAATTGGATTCTTCGAATCATCCCAATATCTTATTTTTATAGCTAAACGAAAAAGGATGAATAATTTATATTTCTCTCTATATATGAAACTATATAAAATAGGTATAGATCAATGTTAGAAGGTCAAATTTTGTAAATCACATATTCACATATTTCCAAGGTTCCCAAAAATAACAAAAATACCAATTCATATTATTTGGCTACGGTGTTATTTTTTCACAAATCAAATACAAACATTTGATTATACCCTAAAAAAGGATCTTAAAGACCAATTTGTATATTTAAGCACATACCCGTCCTTCATACTTCCTTGCCCTCCAATTCTATCATCTTCTCACTTTTAAATATATTATACTTTTCTTGTTGGTGGAAAACATGTTAATTCTCTCTCTCTCTCTATGTGTGTATGTGTGTGTGAGAGAGTGATAGAGTTTTATGTCTTATGCTACATGACATGTAGACCGGACTAAGTGATTGTACCAAAAAAAATATGGATCACTTCAACTAATAAAATGTTTCCTTTTAGGATTATTGGCATGAAAACCTTACGAAGTTTCATTTTTGTCTTTAAGCTGATGTGGACTCCACTTAGACTAATAAAGCTGACGTGGACTTCATTTAGACTAATAATGTTGGTGTGGACCTCTCTTGACAAAAAAAAAGTAAAAACCTTTCTTCAAGCTAATAACGACCATGGGATCTCTCATTGTTGCATCTGATGGAACTCAAAGAAGCTTTGGGGGGGGGGGGGGGGGGGGGGGGGGAGGGGGGTCACGTATCAGTAGAGATTTGATGTGATGTAGTTTGAACCTATTTTGCCTTGAATCATCTCGCGAAATATTGGCTCGTAGAATTGAAGACAAAATGTGTTCAAACACAAATCTTGTCTACAGTCGAGCAAAAAGTTGTCTCCTGGCGTTTGGTTTATAAACATTGCCATTAAACTCATCTTCGTCTTCAATGGAAATAACTAAATTGTTGAGTGGTTGGATTTCTTCACCAAGATAAATCAAATTATCAAGGGATTTTGAGATGAATGAATCTACACACATATCGATTAACCATATAGGGTATCCCACATATCGGAACCTAGAGCTAATTTGACCATCAAATAGTCAAAATTAAAAGGTTAAATGCATGCATTTTACATTAGAACACGCATATACACCTATACAATTTACAAAAATAAGAACGTAGAGAAAGAAATTGTTACATTTGATTTCCAAAAGGGTATAATTGTCTAATTTGCATCACAACTCAATCCCCTTTCACTAAAAAAACAGCGAAGCGTTTACAAAACCCTTCCAAGCTCCACTTTTTCCACATAATGTAACGCCGTAAATTTTCAAACAGATTTTTCATTTTAAAACCGCATACTTTTCATAACAAATTGTATAAAATCTCGTTTATTCAAATTACAGAGCACAACTCCATTAATAATCTAGGATCCTCAAAATATAACTCTTTCTCTGGTGTGTACAATCAAGCCGGTGCCGTCCCGCGATCTCGAGAAAACCTGAAACACAAAACACATAACACGGTAAGCACAAAGCTTAGTGAGTTCCCCAAAATACCACATACAACACATACGCCACTCGAGGCTACAGTACGACCCCCCGGTCGATGTGTCTCAGCGGAACCCTCCAGTCCCGTAGCTCGTTAGACCCTCTGGTCCCGTAGCTCGTTAGACCCTCTGGTCCGGTCCGATCTGTATCATTGGACCCTTCGGTTCGGTCTATATCGTTGGACCCTCCGGTCCGGTCTATACAACACATAGCATACATATATCATAATGCACATAATCTCATACATACACATAGCACACAAGACCCTCCGGTCTACACATAGATACCACTCTAGGTAATGTATAGTGAGAAGACTCACCTCGGATGAAGAACAGCTCCTATAATCACTGCTGCTACGCACCGGACTCTAACTCTGTGCCAAACCCATAATAATCTCAATTAGGAGCTAAGTCCAACCTCTCACTTATTGGGTCTAAAGATAGACCACCTATCCGCCCATTAATGCCCTAAGTCCATTGGGCCCACCAA